TGTTTATAGGGTCTCATTATCCTAGGACCTTTATGATAAAAAAGCAATTAATTATATCATTTATTTGAACAAGAGAAAATTTTCAATTTTTGTGAAAGTGTAGAAATCTGGAAATATCAGCTGATTTGTAGCCCAAGATTATAAAAAAGATGACTGTTAATGTATATCTTTTAATTATACTTTTAAGCAGCAGCAAAATAATAATTAAAACAACTCTCAAAATATACTAACAGTTTTTGTATATGTCAAATTCTCTATTACATTTATTATATTTAAAGTTATTTTATTTTACATTTATGTAGTTACTGGTATGTAGACTTTATTTTTACTTCTTGGGTAGTCACTTTTGTCAAAGTTGTCAGACATTACTTACTTGGTAGAAACAGAATAGAATTCTTTTCTAAATTGACATTCAGTGTTGGCTACCATTATTTCTTTGACATCTTCAGCCTTTATGCCCAAGTTAGATCCTCTTATTGTCAACAAAATTCCACCACTTAGAGGTCCATTCTTTGGTTCAATCTAAATATACAGAAAATATTATTGCCACCTATATTATATACTATAAAATAATAACTAGGCGGTTAACAAACATATATGAAATGCCACGGTAGCAGCTGAATTAGCTTAAAACAGTAGGTTCCTAAACTGGCAGAAAAAACAGAAATAGACCCAGGGTACTTGAATCCCCAAAACATTAATATATTGGTCATAGCAAATAAAGAGGACATATAAGCTCTGCAATTTTAACTTCAGAACTTCCAGAAAGGTGGTGCCTAAGCTTAACATTATAGTTTTTTTAAAAAGCCATTGACTTTGGCACTGTTGACATATTTTGATTAATCTTTCTAAACCATATGAATCCTTCTCCATTAGCAAATCAGCAAATGATTATTTAGGTGCTATAACATAAGGACAGACAACATTTTGTCTTCCAAATGTTATTTACTAATTTGTTTTTATTTATTTATTAAATGTATATGCTACCCATCTCTCTGACAAGCGATTCTTGTTCACTTCAAGCTTACACGAACCAAAACAGCATTACTGAGGAATGATGAAATCTGCAATTCAGTAGCTTCTGAAAACAATAGGATTTGTTCATTCTGCTCTAACATTCTCCAAGGTACTGCAGAAGGCCTTTTATGAGCTATTCTCCTTCCTGAAACATATGCTCAAACTTCTTGCTATTTATCACTTTGCATTTTGATGGTAAGAAAATACAGATAATGTTGGGAAAATACAGAGATTATATATTATGGAACTTGACCTACTTTGCTAACTGCTCCCAGCACTGCATTGCAAATTAATTTCAATATCATGAAATTAGGTGAAATTCATTTACCTGAGTAATGACTGGAGCAGGGCAGGTAGTTGTAGAAGATGAGCAACGTTTTGTGAAAACACAACTCTCCCTGGTTTCACACCAGACACACTGGTACTGAGGATCAGCCGCAAGACACAAGCTGCAGTCATCCCGACCATAAGAGCAGCTATATAAAGTCACTACAAAGATTGCAAATAAGTAATGTGCATTTCCTTAGTATCAATTTCTAGTTCACAATTCAGAACCACAAAAACAACTTGTATTGGAAGCATGGATCAGGATAAGAGGGAAAGCAAAGCAATGAGGTGAAACATAATGCTGCTCCAATGGTCTTTTTTATTTGTTTAGTTTCTTTTTAAATTTAGTGGACCTACTATGCTTAGCCATTTAAGACTGGGTAAGAATGACTCTTGAGTGATATAGGGAAGGGACAAAATAAGATTTATTGTTATTGTTCTACTTCTCATGTAGTTGATTTCTGTCATTTAGTAATCTACCGATCGTTTGCTTTATATGCTTTTTTTGTCAGATTGACACTGACCTATGGAGATGGCGTGTCACTTTTGTATTTATCAGTTCTCAAACGTTTTAGTTTGGAAGCTGTGGCATGTTAGAGCTAGACCACATAGGGGTCAGGCCCAGGTTCCCTCCAACAACTTGTGAAAATGGCAGGCCAGTAGAGGTAAAGAGGAGGAAAAAAAGCAAGTTTTGTCAAGAAATGCCAGTGCAAAAAACAGTACAATGAATGAGCGAAGATGGAACAAGAGGACTGAAAACTACTTGTTTGGAGCAAATAAGGAATAAATATGAAGCAATTTATTTTTGCAAAATATAGTTTCTGAAAAAGAAATCTGAAAGTGAATGATAACATAGATGTGTCAAAACACTATCGGATGGGATATTGAAAACACATAAATCCAAAACTCTTATCATCAAATATGGTGATTTTGATTTAGATTTTTCCTCAAATAAAATATATTTTCTTTCATTTTCTTTATATTGACATTCCCTTCTATAGAGGCTTCCTATTATGAACACAATCCCTACTTTTTATTAATACTACATATTTTTTTGCCAAAACGTCAGACAATCCCTAACAATACAATTAAAACTTTCCAAAATTTCTTTAATGAGTATGCTATAAACCTATAGTCAGAATTCAAACAGTGTGTGAGAACTTTCACTCAATATTTTAATATACCAAGATAGTTCAATCTATATCTCCACCATTTTACACTTCAATTTAAAGTCAAGGGAATGCAAATAGTTCTCTGGCATGCTTTGAGGTTGACAGATAAGGTCAGAGACCATGGGTACGGGAGTACTGCAGAGCACTGAAATCCCAATAAAAATGCCCTGCCACTTTTGGTTATCATGATCATGAATCATGGAGAAAGTCAGAATCTCTCTTAAGCCTATAGACCCTTAGGTATTTGTCGATGGATAAAGTTAACTGGAGCTGAAGTTAAGAAGTAAAGAATCTTGCAATATTACAATATTGTTGTGGGGAAAATAGGAAGAAGGAGAAGTATTAGGTATTTTCGCTTATAAATCTAATAAGTAAATAATAAGTAAATTCCAGAGATAAAAAAGGGCATTGTCCTCTAATATCAGGATAGAATTAGTAAATCCAGGATGTTATCTGAATGCTGGGCATGTTTGAAAATAATCTGAAAGAGGTTTTTCCACACAGTGAACACATAATCTCTTAAAAATAGCTGCATCTTTTTTTAGGCTTCTGCTGCTTCAATCAGTGACATTAAAGATGTATTTAATATACAAGTAATAAGGAAGGAGGTAATGACAAACCACTTCCCAAAAAAATTCTTGCCAAGAAAACTTCAGAGACACAAAACCAACAAAACTTTAATGAGATGACATATGTTCAAAATCTAAAAAAAAATATACATCTGCTTAAAGGAGGAGCTTTGTGCAAGCTTCTTAATGCTTTCAAATCTCATTTAAAGCATGCACAGTGTAAGGATTGGAGCTGAGAACTAGTTCAGGAAAGTAAAAGCAACAAATAATATCAGTGTGATTTAGAATTCGGTCACTTTTTAAAATTGAGTGCTCAAACATTGTTCATCAATGGACATCAAACTGAAATATACAATTATCATTATCAAATTTCTTATTTCTCCTATATTGTTTTCTTTAACAAATTTATATCTAGCTTCTCAGCTCAACAAGGAATATGTTGTATTCCCTCCTCCATTTTATCAGAATTAGGATTTTCCTAATATTAGTCCAACATGCCTTAGATTATATGATGGGCCATAGAGAAGGCTTGCAAGTTACATAGGAATCAGAGAATTCTTGACAGTCTTCCCCAAATTATTACAATTTGGTAGTTCCTTATTGTTAGTGCTTTCTTAAAAAGCACAGGTTTTCATAAACATTCATAAAAGTTTATCCCCTTTCATAAAATTTGTTAATATGACAATGCACTATTAGACACATTCAGATTTTTCTTCCTGACATCAACACCACCACCACCATCATTGCAACAACAACAACATCAACATCAACAACAACAACAACAACAACAATAATAATAGTTGGAAGGGACCTTGGAGGTCTTTTAGTCCAACACCCTGTTCAGGCAGGAAACCCTACACCATTTCATACAAATGGCTGTCCAGTCTCTTCTTAAAAACTTCCAGTTTTGGAGCATTCACAACTTCTGGAGCAGGTTGTTCCACTGATTAATTGTTCTAACTGCCAGGAAGTTTCTCCTTAGTTCTAGGTTGCTTTTCTCTTTGATTAGTTTCCATCCATTGCTTCTTGTCCTGCCTTCAGGTGCTTTGGAGATAAGCCTGACTCCCTCTTCTTTGTGGCAACTCCTGAGATATTGGAACACTGCTATCATGTCATCCCTCATCCTTCTCTTCATTAAACTAGACATACCCAACTCCAGCAACCGTTCCTTATATGTTTTAGCCTCCAGTCCCCTAATCATCTTTGTTGCTCTTCTCTGTACTCTTTCTAGAGTCTCAACATCTTTTTTACATCGTGGTGACCAAAACGGGATGCAGTATTCCAAGTGTGGCCTTACCAAGGCATTGTAAAGTGGTATTAACACTTCACATGATCTTGATTCTATCCCTCTGTTAATGCAGCCTAGCACTGTGTTGGCTTTTTTGGCAGCTGCAGCACACTGCTGGCTCATATTTAAGTGATTGTCCACTAGGACTCCGAGATCCCTCTCACAGTTGCTACTATTGAGCAAGGTACCCCCTATACTATACCTGTACATTTGGTTTTTCTTGCCTAAATGTAGAACTTTACTTTTTTCAGCGTTGAATTTCCTTTTGTTAGATAGCGCCCAGTATTCCAGTTTGTTCAGATCCTCCTGTATCTTAAGCCTATCTTCTGGAGTGTTGGCTATTCCTGCCAGCTTGGTGTTGTCTGCAAATTTGATGAGTTCCCCATCTATCCCCTCATCCAAATCGTTGATGAAGATGTTGAAGAGCACTGGGCCTAGAACAGAGCCCTGGGGCACCCCACTACACACTTCCCTCCATGTAGATGCGGTTCCATTGAGGACCACACCCTGAGTACGGCCGGTCAACCAGCTACAAATCCATCTAGTGGTAATGCTGTCTAACCCACATTTTTCTATCTTATCAAGTAGTAGGCTGTGGTCTACTTTATCAAATGCCAAAGTTCTGAGCATTATGCTTCCTGTCCCTTGTTCATTAATTTATATAAACAGGATCCACTGAGTCACTAAAATCTATGAAAAGGCAAGTTAGCTGTATGATTAATAGTCAGATTTGATAATAAAATAATCCCTATAATATCTTAAGTTTGATTCTGAACTCCTAAGATAGATGTATGTATGTATGATAGATGTATGTATGTATGTATGGACTTCACTCTGATAGAAGGCATATGCTTTTAATGGAAATCTTTTTGGGGGTTTTAATTTCAGTTTCTGAATTGGATCTGTACATATAAACATTTGAAGGGAAGAGTGATAAGAGTCATGACAGAGGCTGATAGGACTCCATTTCAAAAAATCTATATTTCAGAAATCTGTCTGCAGGTTCTCTGTATCTAACCAACTGATCCAAAATATATTTCATCTGGGCATGCAGAAATGAGAATGACTCCTGTGTCTGCAAAAGCCAGCCTTCAAACCATCTCCAAATTAGACTTGTAATATACTGAATGTCCTCACAGCTATATACAATACAGATACAGAGCTCAAAATGTTAATACATTTTGTTACTGATCAGCTCATTAAATGTATCAGCAGCAAGTCTGACATTAGATTCTAGCCTGCATCCATCGTTTTTAGATTCTAGCTGGGAAACCATTGATAAAACAGGACAAAGGATAAAAGGGCTATATTGAATTTAACATTGTTCAAAGTCTCCAGTGGCTATAAAAAAAGTATTAGATACCAATGTTACTCGCGGTAGTTAAAATAGGCGATTGAAAGAAAGGAAACTCATTTACAGTTGGAAATACAATAATTGCTTCTCTTCTAAGTGAATAACTATTAGTCTTGGGAACTGAACAATATAGAAATATGCATGATAAAGATAAATAAATGACCAATGTGATCAATTTAATGATTGTAATTACATTCATCTACTAGGTTTAGTAATAATACACACATACACATGAAAATGGATAATAATGATAAAAAACCTTTCACACTTTGTTTCTCATTTCCTTTTATCCTTTCTCTAAGCTTGACAAGTTATTTCAGATAGATGGCATTCTGTTATTTCCAACTGATTTTTGAAAAGATAAAGCAGGAGCATATACAGAAACCAGAATTTCTAAAATATTCCTTTGGGATTATAACACAACATTTACTAAATTGAAAGGAACTTAACTGATAGACTTAGATGAAAATAGTTTAGGAACTGAGTCTTATCTTTGCAATAATTATTGGATGAATTATTTTTTTCTGAGCATGTTCAACAAAAAGATGGCCAGTGTGCTATGTAAGGGCAGAATATTCTCTATCAGTACGGTAAGTAGTAAGCAATATTTGAATTGTCAACCTAGAACTAAGGGGAAAATTCCAAATAATGAGAACAATTAACCAGTGGAACAAATTGCCTTCGGAAATTGTGGGTGCCTCAACACTGGAGGCTTTTAAGAAGAGACTGGACAGCCATCTACCAGAAATACTATAGATCTCTCACGAGAGCAGGGGGTTGGACTAGATGACCTCCAGGTGTCTATTACTGTTATTGAATCATGGGTGGTTTCAATTCAATCTGCTGAGATTCTATAGGGCATTGATTGTGTAATGAGTTTTTCTATTCCATTTTATATTCTTTTTTTAAACTTTAAAAAGTGTGAAATAAACCAGTTGAATCACTAGCCTTATTCTCCTAAAGAACCCTAAAGAACCACAAATAGCCATTGATTTAATGCCATTTTCTTTGTTGGGGGGGATTAAGGATGGACTTAATCCCTACTCCAATCCCCAATTTTAGTTTTGGAAAAAAAGGAAAAGAAAGAAATGCATTAGTGAAATTCATCTATTTTGCTGTTGAATATGATGCAGCCTATACCTGCATGATATTTTTATATATTTTCTTTGGAAATGCTTAGTAAAACATACACTATGATTTTTTTAAGTTGAATACATTCCATCAATGGTCCATTATCTTGACAAATAATAAGATGTAATCTGCTTGGGCTGAGAGGATATCAGTGCTTTTTTAAAAATAATATATTTATTTAGAAATTGTTACAATCGTTAAAAAGGATTACTATTGCTTATAATTATAGCTAGAGATTGTAAGATTTATTATAAATATAGATATATCAGGTGCACATGACACTGAATTCCAGCAAAAGAATTACTAAAATGGCTTTGGAAGGTAACACTTTGATTCTGTCAAGTTTAATTACTCATTGTAATTGACCCTCCTGCCCAGCCATGAAATATACTGGCTAGATTTATGCTTTGAGAAAAAACATTTGTAGATTGTGATCAGAAATATCCTCATGCATACTGATCTAAAGTTTAAAAAAGCAGTAGTAATAGTATCACAAAGAAACAAAAATCTTAATTTATTGTCTATAGAGTGGCATGTCTGAAATGAAAAAAGAAAATGTGGCCTTTTATGCATAGAATTAGTTTCAATAACAACTTGGGGCCAGTCTAGCTTCAGACGTGATATAACAGAACTTGGAAGTAATTAAATGATTCTTTCATAAAACTGCAGAAACCTTTTGGATTTTATTTTTATTTTTCTCACCCTACTTGCAAATGGTATGAGAAAGTTTAACAATTGCTTTAGTCTCCTCTTGATATATGACAATAATTACAGGTAGTCCTTGACTTACGAGCACAATTGACCCCAAAATTTCTGTTCTAAGCGAGACAGTTGTTAAGTGAATTTTGCTCTATTTTACAACCTTTCTTGCCAGGGTTGTTAAGCGAATCACTGCAGTGGTTAAGTTAGTAACATGGTTGTTAATTTGGCTTCCCCATTGACTTAGCTTGTCAGAAGATTGCAAAGGGGCATCAAATTACCTCAGGAGACTGCAACCATCATAAATATGAATCAGTTGCCAAACATCTGAAATTTGATCACGTGATCATGGGGATGCTGCAACAGTCACAAGTGTGAAAAATGGTCATAAGTCACTTTATTCAGTGCTGTTGTAACTTTGAACAGTCACTAAATGAACTATTGTAAGTTGAGGATTACCTCTATAATAATTTTGACCTATTCTGATTTTTAATTTACGTGACTGCTTGTTGATACTTTTGATAAGTATATATTCATCATTTAAATAACGGACAACTCTGAAAGGGCATGACCTTGGAAAAATTAAAATATTTCCCATTAATTTCTATTTCTCTTCTACATTTTGGGTTGCTGGATACTTACCAATTAACTTGCTATCAATTTTATCTTTGTCTGTTTTAATGAATAAACTCAATGGTAGAGTTTCATTTTCAATATTGGTAATCTGAAAATAAAAATAATAATAATAATAATTGCAAAAGCTAGGTTTACTTGGAACAGCTTACATCCTGAGATGATACTTTCAATATTATTATGATACAAGAACATTTGCCTATCCCATGTCTATGGGAATGACTTGATAAGTGGACAAAAATGCCAATTCCAGTCTAAATACCCGGCTGCCAAACCATAATAATAAAAGTACCCATAATAACAGGCCCCTTGGGTGGAATTCCAAAACAGAAGCACTACTTGAACACTATTGGCACTGACAAAACCAGCCATTGCAAAAGGCAATTTGACTTGGAACAGTTGTATGGAATGTGCACCTGGAGAAGCAGAGAGAGGAGTTTGGGCAGCACAGAGTTTTCTTAGGGAGGAGGAATACTCTACCTGCTAGATTAAAAGGTTATAACTTTAGTTTGACAAGATTCTTTCTGTTAGGAATACTCAGGTTAGTAGATTAGAACATTATAACTTTAGAACATTATAACTTTAGCTCGGCAAGATTGTGTTGTCTTTGGGCTTGGGCCTGATAACGGCTTATATTCTATGATGATAACTTTAATGGCATCAAACAACATCTTCCTACCCTAGGAGCTTGGGAAAGACTTGATGGGTGAATAAAAATGCCAAATCCAGTCTAAATATCTAGCTGGCTATGTAACTACTACTGCCACCACCAATTTCATTTAAAAAAGTATCCAATGTTTTTGGCCATATATCTAAAACCAAATGACTTACTACTGTACTACTGCAATATTAGTCACCTAGTGACTAATGACTATTCATAGTCATATTATTCTAACACACAAAAAAAGAACTGTGCAGCAAAAAGCCAATAAATGCACCAGAAAATGTTACTCTGTAACAGGAACACAAAAGAGCTATTCTAGAATCAGGTTAAAATATTTATGTAGTCCACTATTCTGTTCTCATAGTAACCATCCAACTATCTCTGGAATTTGCTACTTTTCATTCATCAGGAACTAATATTGAGAAATATACTGCCTCTGGCAGTGAAATCAATATGTAGTCATCATGGCCAGAAAGTATAGTCTTAACCTACACCAACATTCTCTGTTCCTTTAAGTTACCCATTTTGTGGTACTGTATTCCATAAATTAACCAGGAATTATATGAAAACAGTACTTCTATGTTTCCTGACTTACATTTAGTTTTACTTACTAACTCTAGGAAGATATAAAATGGAAGCAAAGTGCTTAGTCAGCTAAGCTATAAAAGAAAAATATCCATTTAAGTAGATTTGTTTTCTTGTTTAAGAAATGTGGCTTCCAAAGAACTAAGAAAAAATATGAATAAAGCAGACAAAAATATACTTTGCATTCTGAAAGTCTACACCATTACTATAAATCTTCTTCCCATATAAAAGCTCATGGCATGAGAGTTTCCAGAACCATCTGTTCCATCCTATGTACAACTATCATAAGTACATTTTAGCGAACTCAGAACATTTGAATGACATCAAAAGCTGAGTTTATAATTTATCTTAGATAGGTCTTCAACACCAAGCTTCCTCCACTTGTTACCTCCATAGAGGAGGAATATGATATATGTTATATGAAAGATGACAGATTTCCTGCCACATGAGATCAAAAGGACCGTTCATAAATAGCCTGTGTATGAACACACCAACAGGAAATCAATGCCATTTTCTCTCCACACAAAAATACAGTCAACAGTTATTTGAACATTCCCAATAATATACCAATTATAGGTGACAGGTAAAAAATAGGACTTTTCCAATATTACATGAAATCTACACCCCTCTTAATCAACCTAACTGTGACTACCCTCCCATTTAAGCAAGACATGATTAATTATTCTATAACAATACAAAGAGAGAAAAAAACAGTAAATTGTTCTTTAAAAAAAACAAAATATTTACCTCTGGGCTTTCAAATAAATATTTTCCATTTTCTGTTTGTTCCACTGTGGTCTCAAATTCAAACTTATTATTTCCAATTTTGAAAGTTCTATCCTGTGAAAAGAAATTTTTGATTTATAATATTTATGTCATCATTAAATCAAAGTTTTACTGAGCAATATAAATTCCACTTCTGGGGTGGGAATAAAACTACATTTGTGAGCAATATTATGAACAAAAAATTGTGTGTCTGGGAAAGAAGTTTACAGAATTGGCTGACTTCCCAAAAGAACAAGTTCCATGAAATCTGCATATGTCTAAAATGTACACTTGGAAATAGTAGCGTGTTGCAGTGATGAGCCCCTGGTCTCTTACAGTATTTTGCCTTTATATCAAATACTTACAGTATATTTGGTATAAAGAAGCCCTGGTGGCACAGGGGTTAGAATGCAGTATTGCAGGCTAAATCTGCCACAGCCAGGAGTTCGATCCTGAGCGGTTCAAGGTTGACTCAGCCTTCCAACCTTCCAAATGAGGACCCAGATTGTTGGGAGCATTACGCTGACTCTGTAAACTGCTCAGAGTGCTATAAAGCATTATGGAATGGTATATAAGTCTAAGTGCTATTGTTATTGCTATATTTGACAAAGATCCTTTTGATAAAAAAATAACTTATTTTCTGAAATATGCCATTGTCAAGCCTACTCTAACCAATTGCAAAGTGTTCCAAGTATGTTTGCTTCACATCCATTAAACATATACGTTATTGTTTATATTATACACCATAAGTGTTTATAATCTTTAAGGTTTTATCCCATTAAACCCATTTTGAATCATCCAAAGTATAAATACGAAAGAAATTATACAAAACTGGATGGGGAAAGATAGTATAAAATATTAAAATTTTATTAGCACTAAAGCAGACAGGTTTGTATCTGGTACATTCAAAAAAATAACTTCCTCTTTTATTTATTTATTGTCACAATTGTGTGCAGGTTAAGATATTTTTACTCACAGCCTTTTAATTCCTTAATTAAACAAAGAGGAACTTAATCGAAGTCAGACACTGTTTATGACAGTATTTTGCTTCTACTCTTCCAGGCATTATTTAATAAAAGCAAAAGTTTTTTTTAAACTTTAATAGTGACCTTGGCTCATAGAAAACAGATAACAGTATATATTATAATCTTTGCTTTCCTATGTATAAATATGAAATATAAATAGAGAGCTAGTTTTGTCTAGTGGTTAAGCCTTGCAGTGTTTCTCAACCTTGACAATTTTAAGGCATGTGGACTTCAACTCCCAGAATTCCACAGCCAGCAATGCTGACTGTGGAATTCTGGGAGTTGAAGTCCACATGCCTTAAAATTGTCAAGGTTGAGAAACACTGGGTTAAGGCATTGGGCTAGCAACTGATGTTCTCATCCTGCCTTGGGCACAAAGCCAATTGGGTGACCTTGGGCAAATGATTTTCTCTCAGCCTTAGTAAGGAGGCAATGGCAAAGCACTTCTGAAAAACCTTCAGAAGGAAACCGCAGAGGCTTGTCCCAGCAGTCTCTACAAATCAAACATGATTGAACGGAAGAAAAAATGTATATATGTACATTCAGAAATCAGAGTGAGAGTTTTTCTAACTCCTGAATGTGAAAAAGACATCTGATATGTCTTTTTACAGTACTACACTTTACAGTAGAATTTTCTGTAGCAAGCATTTTCTAAACACAAATTTGCTACTTAGAAGGTAAAAATATGGTACTCTATTTCTTTTGCTAATGTACTATAAATTAAGTTACCTCTCCATTTATCAAGACCTCTTGTGGAAATAATCGAGAATGTCCTTTATCTCATCTTGATCTTAATTTGATATAAAAACCATCAGTCTGTTACATCAGTAAAATTGAGGACCTTTTGAATATAAGAATGGCTGGACTTTAAATATTAACTGTTAGAATATGCTGAGGATATTCTCTTTGATAGTGATATATTTTATATATATTGTTTGTTAATTTGTGAAGTTATGTATAGAACAGGAGTGTGATGTTCCTCCTATAGGTTTTAATGGCTATTACTGATCAATCAGTAATAACTGAGGTCTCAACTGTTGCTTGATAAGAAAATTAAAAAATTTTTTCTTCAACATCGAGGTTTACAAGGAAAAAATTTTAGTTTTAGTCGTAATTATCTACCAATTTGTAGAGTGAGTTAAGTATCCTTTTTGTAAAACATGTTTATTTTCATTGAAAATTTTAGTTATGTAATCACTATAGATTTGTGTTATAAGTATACACGGGACTAGGAAACGTGTACTTCACACTCTGGTTGCCAACAAGTTGGATTTGCATTACATGCTAAGAAAGTTATAACTAACCAAGCTTATCATGTTATGTGAGTACAGCTACTAGCTTTTTAAATGGCCTTGTTGAGAGTGAACATTAATCCAAGCCATTGAGCACTAAGGGCTGTGGGAAGGAGAGATGTTGTAAATCATTCAGGTGATGACTGTTTCCTATTTATTAAGAAACTTGAAAATCTTTAGAGATATTTGAGCAGAGCCATCCTTGGGCATTTGTAAGTACGTTTCCAGGAAACTTCTAATTATAATATGGGCAAACTGAATAACTTTTTAGTTTATAAAGAAAGACATGAAGATAAATAATAAAAACAAAACAGTTATAAAAATTATAATTTAATGAAAATTAATAATAATAAATATAATGCAAATTTGACTACTGAAAGAGGGATATATAGATTAATTCAAGTAATTTTAAATAGGATAATGATGACCTGGTAAGTCACAGTGATAAAAACTTGATCTAATCTGAAATTTAACAAAAACTGAGGAATCTGAATAAATGGGTTCAAGACCAATAGAATTCCCCCCCTTTTTTTCCAGAAAAATTCCTTAAGTTCAAAGATCTTTGGTAAGGCCTTTAAAGGTCAACTGCCTTTATTCACATTGATGCAGACATAACCTAATTGCTAATCATGCATAACATAAACAGTGAGGAAAATGACCTTGATGGAGATATACAGAAGCTGTTGTCAAGACAAAAAGAGTTAAAACATTTTTGAAGTCCAGAATGTCCAGATAATGTTTCGAAGAGATTCAGTAATCCACTGAACAATAAGCAGGAGTAGACACAGCACAACCAAATAGCAAGGTTTTGTAATTATACTCAGACTCAAGAAAAGTATGTCCTTTCATGGTTTGGTCTACCTAAGGGGGCTGCCACAGAACTACTAGTTGGGTACAAAGGAAAATTTGATAACTATGAACATTCTGTTTTTCATTTAGCACAGGCATGTCAAACTCGCGACGTCATGTGATGTCGCACAACGTATCGGGCTGGTTTTGCATGTTCTGCTTAATTTAGCAGAACGTGCATAAACATTGATGAGAACTTTTCTTCTGAACAGGTAATTGTGGATCAAAATGTGGCAAGATCACAAATAGTACCCTACTTGCAAAACTTATAGGATTATGTTACTTGTTTAAGTAAATGGTTACTTGAACTTCAAGTATTGTTGATGTCACATTTCACAGTTCTTGCCATTTACCAAACACCAAGTAAACTAATCATATTTATTGAGTAGTGACTAACTGCTTTTCACATAATTATGAGTAGCTGATATGATTATTCTCCACAGCCCTCCAAAATCCCATAACCTTACATTTTATCTGATTCTCAATTTTAGTAGACGATTTGAAATGTACGTTTACCTCTAAATTGGTATACGAGGAACGGAACCAGATTGAAAGTTTGAAGAAGAAAAATAAAACAAACTAGTTATTCTTATTTTATTTTTGTCTTTTTGTATATGGGTTGTAATTGTTGTTGTTTTTTTACCACGTGTTTTTCCCTTAAAAATGATCCAAATATCAAATAAATTTAACATTAAACATATCTTGTAGAATCCACCCAGGCTGTATGCTGAAAAAAGAATAAAAATCAAAAAAATAAATAACCCTGATAAATTCTCCTTCCCTTTATATAACAGGTCTAACTTTCAAACTACTATATCAAACTGACTCATTTTGTCTAGACTTGAAAATTTTACAAGTAGTATGACAAATGTGAATCCCAAATATCTAATGGGAAAAATTGGTTATATTTCTGAACAGTCAACATAGGTTTTAATGCCAGTATGTAAAATACTAAAAAGCAAAATGAAAATGGAATATCTTCATCTAGAGCAAAAGTTAATAAAAAGATAGACAGAGGAAATGGTTTGCAAGTTCAACACATCCAAGGCAATTACACTATTGCAGAGGCATTCTTTCTCTCTCCTCATTTTGAGCCCAAAGAAATGTCAAATTTTATATTCATGCTCCTGAAAAGACATCACATTAGTGTTATACAGCACCCTCAATCCGATTTGTGTCTTCACGTTTAATTAACTCATTTTAACTTAATTAACATCAGTAGGGCACCTCTGCGGTAGCTTTGGAGTTATGGTACCTTGTAGTTTGAACCTAAGATAAGTCCTTGTATATAATCTATGTCAACCGCATGAAAATAAGCAAGAAGTTCCATCATTATACATATAATATGTATTCATGGTGAAGTATGAACCACCAGCATATTCTATTATTTAGCGGATTATCTTTGCAAAAGTATGTACTATAGGCTTAGGCAGTCAAAATATTTTGTGCTTATGCTAAATACATTGCTTTTCATATAAGCTACAAGTAAAAGCAAATAGTTTTTAGCAACATTCTTCTGAAACAGCTACTTCAAGAATATGTATGAGCACTAAGGAATATGGAAGCAAACAAAAGTGCAACATTCTGCAGAATCAGTGGATGAGGAGCAAGTTGAAGAAAGAGAAGAATTACAATTGTTGGGGAATTCATAATGTTGGTTACGATTCTGCATCTGAGGAACTCTCCCCCATTATTGTTTTATGACAATTTCCCCTATCCTGATGAAGTGACCTTAAATAAAAAGGGGAAGAAAGAGAAGTAGCAAGGTGGATAGTCTCAATTATAGTAGCAATAAATGCTACTTTAAAAATGGGAAGAAATGAAGGACCAGGTTAAGGATGAATCATCATGATGAAATTCTTTCTGTGTGGTTGCTAAGAGTTCACAGTGACGTGATGAATGCAATTATCATCATCATCATTATCATCAAATGAGAAGATTCTTTGAAAGAATCTTATAAGAAAGCAAACAAAAGGAAAATCATAACAGCAAGGGCTAAATTTGAGATCCTTAGAAATAAGCAGACACCTAAACAAAAAAGAGATGGTATATTTGTTCATTACACTGTTAGCTCTGGTAGAATTAACATTGAAAGTAAACCAAAAAATTCAAGAGTATCCACTTTCTCAATAATTTCCTCATATCTCTTACGGTGTACATAATACGCACCGAGGACTATTGCTATACTTTATTCTTCAATATTAACCAAAACATTACAATAATAAATAACTATGCAGAAAAAACCACCAGTGTTCAGGACATGTCCATTCATAAAAAAACCCATTCATTTAAAAATAATTTACCAAGTGATGTTTTGTTTGCATCATGCACAGAAGTGGATTTTAACCATATCTTCAGATAGATCAATTTCTAATGAATCACCGACCTCTAATACAGTGATCAAATTTTCCTGCTAATAGAAGGGTTCATTAACATGCAAACTAGCTCTCTGTATGAATCCCTATAGATGTTCAGGTTCATCTGCTGATGAAAATTCAGAGAAACCCCACAGCGCTAAAACACACTGGAAGTTTTGACTGGATGATGCATAACTTTTATGTAGTAAAGATATTTTTAAATTATCCATCAAAACAAGCTTTAAAAATTGCATGATAAATTATGTATTCTTTCCATTCTAAAAGGCTCCTCACAACATATGACATTTACTTTTTAAACAAGGGAATTACAAACTATCAGGTTTTATATCTTAAATACATATTAGCATTTATTTAATTTTACCTGATAATTATCTAGATTCTTTCCTTCAAAATAAACTTTTGTTGAGACCTCCATTGGTATTACTTCAGGACTGGGATTTAGAAAATGTGGACATTCTTCTTCCTAGAGGACAAACATTTCATACATATTAGTACAGAAATTGTGTATATCGGACAATGATTTTTTGTGTTATTATTATTTTTACAGATTTGACTACAAGCATACAAATTAGTATGTTGGAATGTCTGAACTACTACTCAACACTTGAAAATTTTCCATCCTTACAAGTAAACTATGAGGGCAAATATAATTACCTAAGCACACAATTATAACCCAGATATCTATGTCATATTCATATTGCTCCTGCCTCTTCAATGACGGGGATTTTAAAAACAGGTCAATATCTTTTTGCTATGAACCATAACTCAACTAACTTTGGCCCTCCACAATGCAATTAGATAGGTTTCAAAATACATTTACCTTATAGCGTTTACTGCTGTATTGCCTGATATACTATCAACCTGATTTATTAGCTGATTGCTATCCTAATATTACCTGCAGAACTTCTAAATTTTATTTCTTTATATGCTCACTGGGCTGTGAAATATTACTATGAGATTTTTTTAATACAGTTCTTATACAGTAGTTATATTTTATTTGAGTTTTAAAGATATTGCCCATACTAAACATTATCTCATTTTATCATAACCAAGTTCAGCCAAAGTCTTGAATGAGATTCCATCTTAGAACATTTACCATATTCTGTTTAATCACATCCTGCTCTAGAGAAGCATCTTCACAGACATGATTCTTCCAGTCCCATTGGCAATTCCATCTACTGCTTGCACAGGAATAACACCTACATGAATAAATAAGAAATGCTTTTAGTTTGCATGCTCTTTGGCTACTTTCTAATAATAACTTACAATGTCATTTTGTACATTAATAAAAATCCAAAGTCTTTCAGAGACAAAAATGTCACTTGGAGGGTAGAAAATATTCATTACTGCCTAAGTAATGTATGTACTCTTTAAACCAGCTGTATCTTTAAATCCATAGCTGAAATATGATCCTGGGAAAAGACTAACTAGTTTATAGAGATGAAAACAGGACCACTACAGACATTCCCATGTACTGAAAAACATATTTTTGCTTTATATCACAAAGCCATAATGGCCTGTTGATAGCCCAAAAGTTCAACAAGGATATCTCCCCAAACTACCAGATACGCAGATACATGTTCTGATATAAGGACTTAAGAAACAACTAATGGTGTTACAAAGGTTCAACATTTCAAAATCCTGCTGTTGCGGTATATGAGACTATGGCTGCAGTTTTTCTACCAGCACAAAGGACTCTAGGGCTGGAACAATGGTTTGTTACCATCATATGTAATCATGATACAATCCTGTGTTATATCAGGCTATTGGATCAGGAGATTTCCAAACTTCACCAACTGTTCCTTAACCCATCAAGATAATTGTCTGTATTGTTTTCAGTTATTTAACTTACAAAGCAAAGGAGATAAGTCAGACAGATCTTAGATGCTTGAGTAGTAAAGGTCAGACAAAACATGCTTCAAGGAAAGCAAGTAAAATGGAGTGTTTCCCCCACTATTTAAACACTTTATTTTTAATCAAGATACAGAAGGATTCAGTTACAGGAAAAGTCAAGGTATAGTTTACATCAGCTTTGCTGATACTCCACAGAAAAGTCTTCTTTGAACAACCTGACTATGAAATCAAAGACATTAATTATTATAATATTTGAGTGCAAATAGCATGGGAAGGGGAGGTATAATGAAGTTCAGCAGCCAAATACTTACGGCTCATTTTCAATATGATTTATAGCTTCTCCACAGTCATAAAAAGGGTATGTACCCGATGCAAAAAATATATTATCTCCAAAGGTCAGATTTACCAGAACCAGGACAGAGTCTACAAAAAAATAGTAAAGATTAATTTGATTGAAGATGCTTTACAATTTACATAGCTTGGTTCAATTAAAGGTCTATTCCAAAAATATACCCTACTGAAGCATTTATTGAACTTCTGAGGTTAGGGCATTAATCTTTGACTCTTTCTTAATAGCATATACAATTAAACCTGATGACAATAGGCATGTCAAAATATTTTAGAATCCCAAGCTTTAACAATGCCCAAATGTTTTTTTCCAGAAGTAGTAAACATCCTATTATTGAAAAATATAGTCTGATAAAAAGCAAAAGGAGAATAGCAATAGCAATAGCATTTAGACTTATATTCCGCTCCATAGTGCTTTACTTTCTAAGTGGTTTACAGAACCAGCTTATTGCCCCCAATAATCTGGGTCTTCATCGTACCAACCTCAGAAGGATGGAAGGCTGAGTCAACCTTTAGACCTGTCAGGATGGAACTCCAGACTGTGGGCAGAGTTAGTCTGCAATAGTCTGTGCCACCAGAGAAACACCACAGATAGAAAATAAAATGCATGAATAAATCTATTAATGAAAGAATATTTGCTTTTAGATTTTTAATTATGTTAATGCTTCAAAAATGATTAGGCAGAAGTGTTTGGACCGTGTGTGAGTATAGTACCTGTTTGCTCTTTATTAAAGCACACTAACTTTTTTCACATTTCTATACAAGCCTGTGAAAAGTCAATGTGACTTTAAAAGACCCAGTATCATTTTAAGTTTATATGGAAGCCTGAAGACATTTAGGATGCTTTTAAAGAATAGCAAAAGTGCTTTGCTTATACTTAAAACTTCTGTTGAATTTCTAAAGAGGATACACTCCTATTTGTTTTTAATAAGATACATGGATTCAAAAATAAATGCATACATACACACAAAGATTGCATATAGAAAGTATATGTTGTTCAAGTCATTTATAAATAAAGCATGCTTCTCAAATAAAAAAATATATTCTGAAAGTAATAATTTGAGACTAAAATTTTGGAAAAAAACACTAGTATATTGCACATATTTCCTCTATTAATATATTACAAATCTGAATTATTACAGAATTAAGAATAAAATAGAATAAAAATATTATTGTCACTTTAAATGTATACTATATCAGCATATATTAAGAATGAAGATCTATAGAAATTGAGGCTTTCTCAATGAGACTCCTAGCTATTCCTCTTATGGAAATCATTAAACCCTCTGACAAGCTATTTCACAACCTATTGAGCAACTTCAAACTCTGCTTTCCTCTAACAGCTTGTGGAAAGAGTGGTGACAGTTTAGATTTAAGCTCACTTCATGAAAAATTCCAGTGAAAATTTTTGGATGTTTTTCACTTTAGGCCATACATTCAGAGGTCAACTGGAAACTGAATATATATTTTAAAGACGTCAGTTAATTCAGAGCTGTCGCTTTCAAAACAAATTTATTATGACATAGTTCATTTGCATTGATCAAATCTTCTCAGGAGAAATGGATGTGACTAGAAGCATTTCTTACATTCCCCAAGAAACCACTAATTCTTACATTCCCCACAGGAAACCACTTGCAACAATCTGCAAGAAATGGCATTATATAAGAAGGCATGCACTATTAACTTGCTAGAAAAATGCGCAAACAGAAAATCTCTTATGTTCAATATTTATGAAGCAGCCACTGTCTCATCTTCCAAAGTATAGTCTACAGTGAAAAATAACCTAAAATGCATTTTTCTTTGAAACAAATAGTGTAAAGGGCACTCTTATTTTATCCTGGAAATTATGACAGACATTTATATATCATTCTACTATCCAAGACAGAAATGGCATCTAGGTCAACTATTAACTTTGGCTTTAGTCAACCAATGGTTTCGGCATATGATATGGCTTTTTAAGGCAATTTTTTCAACCTGCTCTCCTGGATAGATACTGGAATGCAAATTTGAGAAGATCAGATAGTGTAATCTTTGTGTTTACTATTTATTTACTATATTTATAAACTGGCCCAATCAACTAGGATTCTGGGCAATAGATAACACGATCGGTATACCAAGAACCAAAATGGGAAGTTCAACTGAATAAAATAACAATAAAATGTAAATCTAAAGTAATGACAGGAAAAACTAATACTCATTGGAATAACAAAGTTTGACCTTGTGTCCTAAATAAAAGAATGGAGGAAGTCATTCTCATTTCTGGATTTGGGGTATTTCAAAGAATAGCTGATACCACTGAGAAGGCCTAGCATCGGATCCATAGCCTAAGAACTGCATGGAATGGGGATAGGAGAGGCTCAGTAGTCCTATCTGCAAGATGAATTGGATGGATAGATTCTAACCTGACATATCATTGTCTGATATAATCCAGTGCTTTAAAAGTGGATGAATAGCACTTTAAAAAGTCATCCAGCTGTATTTATATGCTGATGGGTTGTCTTATCAGGAGTATTGTCAATGAAATTTTGAACCAGACAGTTTATAAATCATTTCCAAGGGTAGCCTGACATAGAGAGTATTACAGTAATCTTACTATGTGGCGAACTGAACATGACTCACCGTTGCTAGGGCATTTTATTCAAAGTAACAGATACAGCCAGTGCAGCAGCTGAAATTGAACAAAGATCTCCCTAACCATGGCTTATACTTGCTATTTCATCCTGAGTCATGAGTGCTGAAAGAGCCTCAAGTTATGCATCCTTGGGGAGTAACTATGGTATCAAGGGTAACTACGGTATTGATATTTTTAAAAAGTAACCTGAGGTTTACTGGCAACAAGCAACTCAGTTGTAGCAGGCTTTAGTCCAAATGAAACTGAAAGCCTATTTAGAAGTTCATCCATATCCTTCACCTTTTAGCTTTTTTTTGTAATACTTAACATATGCATAAGGGAGACAAATATCCCTGGAATGCATGAAGCAGAATTAACAGACAAGCTGCTATTAATATTTCTGAGAAGAAAAATGTTAAAGATATCATTTTTAGACTAATGCCAAGAAAAATGAATTACAGAAAAACCCACACAACATTTGTTGTTTCAAGCAGCTATTAAAATAGTAGCTTCAACCTTGGGATATGGGATTAACCATGGGGTTCAGCTGTATCTTTACCTTGGCCTTTGGTTGTTGGAGGAATTTGATTTGGAGGTAGGCAGATAACAGCATCACCGTATTTCTCTGCCTGCTGCCTCATTTCACCAAACTGACACCAAAGCTGATCATCTTCATTTAAGTCCGGCAAAGGGCTTATAGTAAATTCTACCTGGAATTGTAAGAACAAACAATACTTAGAAACAATACAGATTCTAACAGAGCAACAAAAAAGTGCAGCTGTAAAACTTTGTACAAAAATAAAACAAAATCGATCAATGTGTAAATGTAACAATAGTGGCATTTTAATGGGTTATTCTTAGCCCTATTAATTCCGGAAAAATGCCACATGTTTTACATACAAAAGGTTAAAGATTCAATACTTGGTACTGAACAAATTTTTGAAAAGTTTGGAACAAAGATCTCAGTAGAAGACCCCTTGCTAGTTGAAGTAGATAGTAATTGTTTAGATCACAGATAGACAATTATGGCTCTCTTGATGTTACTGGATTCCAGTTGCTATGACACAGACCAATGGATGGTAGGAATACTTTCAATAACTTTCTAATCTAGACCAATCATCTGTTGCTATCTAAGGCATCTTCACGGTATCTTCATACATTTGGTTAGCTATTTCCAAGGAAATTAGTTCAGAAAGGGCTTTTAATGACATTTTATTACTTTCAAATGACACCTTATGTTATTTCAAGAAGCCTGATGTACTGATAAATTTTTCACTTTTTATACCGGAATGTCTTTTCTAATTTTAAGAATAATACTTTGTGATGATTTTATGGAAACCAAACCAAACCATTAATAGAATTCACCCATTCTCTCTTGTGTTGTCATCATATTTACATAATACTGTATTTACACAGTATGCTGACATGTACTTGGATAAATCTTAGGAACTGACTTATTTTTGTAGTAAAAAGAACAGGGTGGTCCCAGTGGAACATAATTTGAATCAGTCTGCATGAATTTCCACTTTTTCTTTTTCAATTTTTAGATGGAATTCTCCATGTAACTTGCAAAGGTGAATTGTCCCCTAAAAAACTGCCCTGTGTATTTTTGAAATAAGACATAAGCCATTTTTGTCATGCTTTTATGTCTCTACAAAATATAACAAGTCTTTTGTTGAATTCTCACTTCAGCCTAAATGTAGCATCTATTCAGCACAGAAGTTGTTTAGACTTTTCCAGCACAATTAAAGCATGCTGTCCATAGAAAAGCATAAGCCAGAACACACAGCGGGAGTTGTAAGTCGGACTGGAAATAATCAAGGAACTTATTCTGAAAGGACAACAAAGGCAACTGCCCATCAAATAGAGCTGAAACAACATTTTGTTTGGTGAAGGACAAAAATGAGATGTTTTCTGAGGAAGAGTAATGTCTGGTTGCTTTACAAGCATTTCAGAATGAGCACCCCAATGTTTAATTTAATACTTATTAAGAAATAAGTATCCTCAAAAAAGGTGAGAAAAAATGGAAGGGATTAAGAAGTTCATTGATTTGATTAGTTCCCTAAGAAAAATGCTGACGTCTTTCCCAACACTTTAGACTTCACAGTTCCATTCTGCTTAGCCATTGCCTTTAACTTCTGTGTGTTTTAAGTAATTGTGTGGCCTATTTTCCCAAGTGAGAGAGTTTTGCCTTTAGGAATCAGAACATTTGGGTCATGAAAAAATGAATCATGGGAACTGGTAAATGTAACTATACAGTCAGGGAATGAGCAAGAGATGAAAATATGCTATCTTTTTGTACTATAATTAATCACAATATAATATTGCTCCTATTCATTGTAATTCTTTCCCCCCCAAATATAATACTTTTGTTTTGAAAAGAATGGGGATATCCTATCTGTCTAAACAAACTAAATTCATGACTTAGGATTTTTTCTGTCTTTATAGTAATAATGATCTCAGCAAGATACTTTGTTTATTAAAGCTGAGTCTTCAATTGCTAACTCACCGCAACATGCTTCTGTATCTTTTGTATAAATACCTAATTGCAAAGGACTCCCAAATTGTAGTTTACCATTTGAACAACGGAATTATCTAACAGGAAATCTCTTTCTGTTGATCATTCTGTGCAAAATGCAGAGTTACTAAAGATATGTCAACACCAGATGTTTCTGTCTCCTAGTTGTACTAGAAATAGCCAGTAAATCTAATTCTGGATTATATCTCCTAAGAAGAATCTGCTTTAGTACTTAATTCTGGGGGGTTTTCTTTCAACGTTTTACGTTTACAGGGTTATTATTATTATTCCTTTCAAAGTTTTAAGTTTAGAGGGTTATTATTATAAGAGCTGAGCTATAATATTTTTGGCTTGTTTAGCTATAGTTTAAGGTCTGATTGGAGGGCTAGTCTGCAAAATTGGCATTCCTCAGATATTATGGGAGTATTTCTCAACTTTGGAAACTTTAAGATGTGTGGATTTCAACTCTCAGAATTCATCAGCATGCAAGGTTGCGTGGGTATTGAAATCCATACATCTTAAAGATCTCACGGTTGATTAAAACTATATTAAAAGTAGCCACAGAAAAGCCATAGGATATGGTCACACCCAGTTTATTTGCATGTTTTAGTACTTTGGAACTAAGTCTTTATCTAAGCAGATATTATGAAAATATGATATTCTCAAAACATGGAATCCTTAAGTCAATCTACCTCTCACAACTCAAAATATAGCTCTGGAGATGTCTGTTTAAATTGTCAGTTTCTTGGGTACAGGCAAATTTCACTTTTTTTGCACCCAGATGTTTTGAAAAGAAAAAATAGAACTTCAAGATTTTATATAAAACTAGCATTTTTTCAGAAATAAGTACAAGATAAACCACATTAAACAAGCACAAGGAATGGTAATTAAAATAATCTAAACTGCTTGTATGTATGACCATGCAACACATGTGCACAACTATTTCCTACCTACCCACAACCCCAAACATATTTTTTCATATATATGATGAATTTATTGCACATTTACCTTGCTCAGAACTTTCCGGCTCATATTTTGAGGGTTAGCACTTGTAATACTCAAGCAAACACCATTAGGACTCCAAAGCCAATTATTTTCCCTAGCTGATCTTTCACAGTCTTTTTTCCTTGTGCATCTGGAATAAATAATAAAGCCTAATGTTATCCAAAGTAAATTAAAAATTTTAACTCAACACTCAGTCAAAATGAAATGACATTCAAACCTATGCAAATTGACAAATGACAGATGGCACACGTTAAATGTTTAATATTTCATTTTTCCTTTCTTTCAGTTTACTTATTGTTCTTTGCGACAAGATAATTACCTATGAGCATTTAAAATGACAACAATAAATGTACAAATAATTATCTTAAATACAATTTACTGTACAGTACTGGAAAATCTAATCTAATATTCAAGAAACATATAATGGAAAAGTAGCTTTAGCTGTTAAGAAGCTAAACTCTTATGAAGTATATAAATCTGGATTGTTTTGATTATTCTTTAGCACTTTTCAAATTTGTCATCGGTTCTTTATTTTTAGCCTGAGGCGTAACTCCGTAGGCTCCCTCTCTGCCACAGAGAAAAGAAAACATTTCTGGCTTTGGAATTGGTTATTTTTCATTGCTGGAGGAAATATGAATTTAACAAAGTTCTTGAGATATGATCTACTTTCAGGTTTTGTCAATAATTTTAAGGAATAAACAGCTCTGAGAACTCCAAATAGAGCTGAATGCAGGAGAACCCCATCTAAATTTATTGTGACTTTGGGTGGCTGAATATATTACTGCCTACATGCATGAAATGTAAATAAAAATAAAAATACAATGAAACAAGCATATGCATTTTACAGGAATAGATTCCATTAATAAAAATCTTTTGAGATGGATGGCCAGCCAACAGCTGTGGAAGACCTAAATTTAATGAATAGACACAGGGAAGCCAGACAATCATGGGAGACTGTAAGGACCTAACTAGCAATGAGTCTAAAAACATGGAATGGCACACTTGGCAAACATTTTTTATTTGCAGCTAAGTGTAAGTAATCCTGAAAACTACCTCTCCTGAATTGCAAGTTCTAGTTAAATTGCTTGGGTCTTTTTCTAATGTAATTAGTAAGCTCCATTCCTTGCATCCAGCTATGAAGGTGAAACATCACATTCTTAACAGAGGACATCAACTGTATTTTTAACTATGTGGCAAAGTAGAACAGAAACTGAGCTATCTTATTTTGAACTTTTTTGAGCAGAGTCATGTGACTCCCAGATTTGTTATGAAAATTTTTCCTGGACTGCAGAAAACTTTATTTGGCATATACATTACGAAAAAACTAACACTGATGAATAAGTTCAGTAATGTCTACCCAGAGTGACAATGGTTTTCTAAGCTTCCTCCGAAGGTGGGATTCAGCCAGCTTGCACTGGTTTGGCAGAACCGGTAGCTAATTTTTTGTTGAGTTCAGCGAACCGGCTGAATCCCACCATTGGATGGCGTCCACTGAAGCCCTAGCCCTTTTTCGCAAGGCTCAGAACAGCC